ACATAACAGTAAGGCCCCCACATTCCTCCTGTGTTGAAGGCTCTGCTGAAATGACTGATCTCTCCAGGATGGGTCCAGGCGAGAAATGAGGCTTCTTGCTCTGTTCTCTACTCTGTCAAGCAGTCGCAGATGAGATGGGGGGCAGGCAAACCAAGAAAGTGGAGCATACTCAAGGTGTGAGCGTACTTGTGCCTCATACAGAATCTTGCAACCCCCTTCTGTCGAGCAAATGCGAGATACGTCGAAGTACTGTAAGCTTCCTGGCTGCCTTGTTTGCAAGATTTACAAAGTGGTTCTTCATGGTCAGTTTAGAGTCAAATTTCACCACAAGTCTATCAACTTCTTCCCCGGGTACCAACACTCTCCCATTCATTCTTACTACTGCTCCAGCATTATCATCATGGTGCCTAGAGACCATCATCATTTGTGTATTTTCATGTGCAAATGTTACCTGTCATCGGTTTCCCCAGGCTGATATAGCTCTTAGCTGGTGATTGATGTAGCCTAGAGCAGCTGGCATTTCTTCTCTTGGATAAGTAAATATCAGAGTGCAGTCGTCTGCATATGCATGGGATTATGGGATGAGATGAAGGAGGTCAGTGAAGTAGACATTCCATAACAATGGCCCAAGCACACTTCCCTGTGGAACGCTTGTCCCAGTAGGATGTGCTGCTAGTTCTTTTGCATTGAGAACTACCATTAGAGATCTACTATGAAAGCAATCACTGAGGAGACATAGTGTACAACCTCTCTCTCTCTCTCTCTCTCTCTCTCTCTCTCTCTCTCTCTCTCTCTCTCTCTCTCTCTCTGTTCCTCATTAAGGACACATCTCGTTTCTTGCTCTGTCTGGGAGAATGCTATTCTACTCAGCTCTTGTTATTTAGACACTATATTCTCTAGAGTATATGTGTGTTGGTAAGCCAGGGCATATTTCACGCAGCTTTATGCAACTCTGTTCACAGAGCATTATTTAGACTTAGTAATATTTGACGTTTACAGAGGTTGTGAGTCGTTAGACTCTGTCCAAGGTTCAACTCTCGACCTACATTATTCTGGCATCTCTGCAATGTTGTAGTCGGGAAATTGGAATTGCTGAACTCAGTTTCAGTAATAAGGGAGTTTTATACCTTTAGTGTAGGATCTGTTGAATGTCTGCAGTAAGGGTTGTTTTGGTCTCCTTGATTCCTTGTCTGACAGCTGCCTGATTGCTTTTATGGTTGAGAAGTTTGCTTATTTATGGACTTGGTGTTGTCAGTCACAGTCTAAGTTGAGTTAGTCCGAGCACATACCAAACACTTACACACACACACACACACACACACACACACACACACACACACACACACACAAACTATTACTTTTGTACTTATGAGTACAACTCATGCACTCAGATGGTGCATATTAAGAATAGTACAGGAGCATTTTCTCAAGTGTGCCCTTAGCACCTTATGAATATATGCATAGAATAACTATGATGTGCAAGTATACCAAGTTATACTCTGAGTTGCCTAGGAGATTATACCTTTTATTATTCTGTAAAGATTACCACCTAGACATCTTTGTTATTAAAGATCTCATCTTTTATTTATTGGATTTGTATTCATCCAGTTGTAATCTCAAAGCGATACTGAGAAGCCATCTAGTTTCACATGATAACTGGACTAGGATACAAAGTGTTAGGAAACCAGAAAGAGGTTAGATGCTGAAAGGAGATCAGTAAGTTGACCTGGTATTCTCTGGAGATACCGTCACTCAGTAGATGTCTCATTTTGTAACAATGGGTATGCGGCGTATGACATTATATTGCGAAGATATTACGCCCACCAGGGACTTCATCAACTCTCATAGATATGATTAGAATGAAAGCATTTGTATACTGAGATATATACATATATTATCTATCTATATATATATATTATATATATATATATATATATATAATATATATATATATATATATAATATATATATATATATATATATAATATATATATATATATATATTTTTTATTTTATATAGCGAAGTACCACCTCTATAGCTGGACTGGGGACCCTCATCATCAGAGAAGACAATAAACGTACCTCAGGGAAATCTCAAGGTTCTCCCCGGAGCTGTTTGAATATTTTCTTCTCCTTCCACCTCCTATATATTTTATATTATATGTGAACATTTATTAATGAACAGAATACATTTACAGAAAAAACAAACATGAATACAATGGCACAATGTATCAAAGATCATGAATTTCCTCCAGCTCCTCCGAGGCTGGATGCGAGCCAAGTATGCAGCAAGCATTTCCCCTCTGGATGGCTACGCTGAGGCGCTGGAACATGAAAGTGTCTGCCCTTGGGTCCCTGGTGGTGTCGATGAGTCTGGAACCCAATTCTTTAAGAAAATGTGTGACATTTTTTCCCCATGATCCCAAAGTCTCTGATCCCACTGGGACAAATTGATACTGTTGGCTTATGTCCCTGTACTTGCTGATCTTGTACTCCTCCCTGTGGTCAGCAGCTCCTCCCTGTCGCCCCACACTGTGATGGATATAGGTGTCAGCCAGTGTGGACACACAGGTATAGTCCCATGCTAAGAGCTTGCCATACTTCCAAGGATAGATGGTGATCCCGTCGGGGCGGTTTGCTGAGTTGTGGGTATTGTTGGCTGCTAGTGATCGGGGCTCCCTCTCGGCTGGGCATCCAGCCCTGTATGCCAGCCCTTGGTTTTGGAACAGTTAAGACCATGTAGACCGTATTGGTCTGCTTGCGCTTCGCCGCAAATACACGTATATTCTGTGTGAACTGGGGCAGCAAGGCGCAGAGCCACTGCAATACGGAGGTAGTAGGTTGGTAAACAGCAACCGCCCAGGGAGGTATTACCGTCCTGCCAAGTGAGTGTAAAACGAAAGCCTGTAATTGTTTTACATGATGGTAGGATTGCTGGTGTCCTTTTTTCTGTCTCATAAACATGCAAGATTTCAGGTACGTCTTGCTACTTCTACTTACACTTAGGTCACACTACACATACATGTACAAGCATATATATACACACACACCTCTCTTGGTTTTCTGCTATTTTCTTTCTACTTCTTGTTCTTGTTTATTTCCTCTTATCTCCATGGGGAAGTGGAACAGAATTCTTCCTCCGTAAGCCATGCGTGTTGTAAGAGGCGACTAAAATGCCGGGAGCAAGGGGCTAGTAACCCCTTCTCCTGTATAAATTAGTAAATTTAAAAAGAGAAACTTTTGTTTTTCTTTTTGGGCCACCCTGCCTCGGTGGGATACGGCCGGTTTGTTGAAAGAAAAGTAAGAATATTTATATATATATATATATATATATATATAATATATATATATATATATATATATATATATATATATATATATATATATATCATATATATATTTAACAAGTCGGCCGTCTCCCACCGAGGCAGGGTGACCCAAAAAAGAAAGAAAATCCCCAAAAAGAAAATACTTTCATCTTCATTCAACTCCTTCACCACAATCACACATCATCACTGCTTTTGCAGAGGTGCTCAGAATACAACAGTTTAGAAGCATATACGTATATAGATACACAACATATCCCTCCAAACTGCCAATATCCCAAACCCCTCCTTTAAAGTGTAGGCACTGTACTTCCCATTTCCAGGACTCAAGTCCGACTATACATATATATATATATATATATATATATATATATATATATATATATATATATATATATATATATATATATATATATATATATATATATATATATGTCGTGCCGAATATGTAAAACTGGTCAATTAGCAAGAACTCATTTAAAATTAAGTCCTTTCTGAAATTTTCTCTTATCCGTTTAAAGATATATTTTTTTCATTAATGTTATTGTAAAAATTTTTAATTTTGCTCCAAAAGAATCTTAGAAAACTTACCTAACCTATTATAACAAGAACAATTTATTTTAGCCTAACCCAACTAAATATATTTTAAATACGTTTACAATAATTTAATACTAAACAAACACAATCAAATATATATTTTTCGGGTGGCTAGCAGATCAGGTTCTAAGCAAACCCAGTTCGGTTTGTCTTCCTTCTAGACGCCAGAAATCAGTGACATTGGTCGTTGAGCGGTAGGCCCGAGTGCTGTGTCTCGAGTTCTGCTAACACACATACGTGGGTATAACTAAATGAGTATATCACACCGAACGTCACAATTATAGTCACTCCCGCCATCTCGACAACTATGACTTTTCCCCTTCCCTCTACAGTCACTTCCCTGAACAACCACTACCGCAGTCCTTATACTCAAAACTCACAATCTTCATAAACCCATTTATACCAACTCCCACCATAGCCCCTGCAATCCCACTCCCATAAATATCAAATTTCCGGCAAACCCAACCATCACTAACGTGTCTTTTCTAGATTACTTTCTTCTGATTATTAACTCCAGAGAGATAATAAACCAGAATAACAAAATAAATAAATCAGTGTGACTTATTTCCATTGGTCTGCCTTGATACTCCAAGACAACCACACAACTGAAGCACTTGAGAATCTTCAATTAAGAAATTTTATGTCAGCCACTGGCTTCTTCAGCCCGAACGACTCCAATTGTAAGATGAACGGTGGAAGAAGATGACTGATTGTCTCAAATTCCTCCTGTTCGTTGTATTGGACTAAAGAAGCCGCTAACAGGCGAAACGTTTCCGCAATAAAGATTCCCAAAAGTTGCACAAGTGTCTCATTCTTCCATGTTCTTCCACTTGTCGGTTTTCTCAAATATTTACATGACAGTTGAAGTCAGACCTCTGGCTGTCTATTTCCTGTTAGCTGAACACTTCCAGTATGGTACTAAACAGTAGGCTTACATATAAGAACTTCTTAACCACCAGACAATCAGAGGCAGCAGGTGTTTGGAAATTATCCCATATTTCTCACCTTTCCTAATCTGCGACTCACAAAAGTGCATCAGTTCTTTAGGGCCTATTTTCTTCTAGGTGAACGGGGAAAATGAGTCCTATACATCTAACCTTCATTGAAATTAAATCCATGTATCCCTCTTGCCAGCATCACCAGTTTCTCTCTCCCTCTGCAGCATCATCTAGAAGGACGTACCTGAGTCTTCAAGTGGTGGTGCCGCCTGGCCAACCCATCTTGAGAGTTGGGAGCCAGCGGGCCACAGGTGGGGTGGTGGGTCCACTGCAGGAGGGAGCCTCTCTGGCCATAACCTGCAGCGTCGCCGGCGGCCAACCACCTCCTGACCTCGTCTGGATGACACAGGATGAGGTCAGTATTGATGCAAGGCTACTGAGAGAGAGAGAGAGAGAGAGAGAGAGGAGAGAGAGAGAGAGAGAGAGAGAGAGAGAGAGAGAGAGAGAGAGAGAGAGAGAGAGAGAGAGAAAGAAAGAAAGAGAGAGAGAGAGTAGACAAGTTTATACTTTCCTTTTCCTGTTACCCCTATATTAAACATATTTATTAATACCATTTACTTAAAAGCTGGTGCTTTGCTGGCTACAAAAAATTTGGGAAATGTTTGGTTCAGCTGTTCTTAGTCATCTGATGACTCCGTTTATGGAGCTTTAAAATCACTTGACCTTGATATTCCCCAAACTGACCGTCCTCCTCCGTGAACCACTACGCATCACATAAAAAGTCGTAATTAAAATGGAATGTACTAGAGTTTAGTGGCACCAACATTTATAAATGAGTGTGAGGCACCGCCATTAAAGGTGGCAATGAGAAGGCTAGTGGCACTACTTATAACATGTGTTTTATAAATGTTATGTCGAGTATTAGTAGTGAATAAATTAGAAGACTGTGTGGGGTTACCACAGGTATCATTCAGAGTGTGTAGGAGGGATATTTAAGACGTAACGTCATTTAGAAAGTTTGGATAATGGTTTTAATTATAACAAAAAAAATTAAAGAGGTGGACCAGTAAGCCAGCGGAAGGCCTAGGTCCGTTGAACAAAAGCTCCAGCTACGGATCGTCACATGAGTGTGAGCAAGAAAACAAGATATACAAATAAGGTGCAGGTGATTGCAGGAGATGAACAGTAAAAGTACCAGCAAAGTTAAGGAGCGGTGAGGATGTTACATTTCGTAAGGCCATTCGAACTGCGGACCCCTCACACGTCTAGTGGGAGAGCTGTTGACTGGATGATGGTCAATATGTTTTCTTCGGGTCACTATTCCTTGGCGGCAGTTAGTCAGGGTGGTAAAAAATTCAGTTGTTGTCTTTTTACCCCATATATATAAAAAAGCAAGATTTATCAGACAGAAGCATCCTATGATATATATTTTAAGACTTGTTTACCCGTTTCTTCTACATACATTCCTTATTTATTTCTACAATTTCCTTGTATATACATTCCCTATTAATACAGTTTCGAAAAATCATATTTTATTAAAATCTCAACAAATTAATATCAGCATTTCTTCCCCTCCGTCCACATATCACATTAATAACCTTTGGAACGTCATGCGACACTTTTTGCCTTTGTAATACTGAAACTTTTGCCGTGAAATAAAATTTATTATAGATGCAATTTCTCAAAACATTTTTTTTTCAGTTAGGGTTATCTGGCACTGCTGCCATATAATAATGGAACGACCACTGGTTATCTGGCACTGCTGCCATATAATAAAGGTACGACCACTGGTTATCTGGCACTGCTGCCATATAATAATGGAACGACCACTGGTTATCTGACACTGCTGCCATATAATAAAGGTACGACCACTGGTTATCTGGCACTGCTGCCATATAATAAAGGTACGACCACTGGTTATCTGACACTGCTGCCATATAATAAAGGTACGACCACTGGTTATCTGGCACTGCTGCCATATAATAAAGGAACGACCACTGGTTATCTGGCACTGCTGCCATATAATAAAGGAACGACCACTGGTTATCTGGCACTGCTGCCATATAATAAAGGAACGACCACTGGTTATCTGGCACTTCTGCCATATAATAAAGGAACGACCACTGGTTATCTGGCACTGCTGCCATATAATAAAGGAACGACCACTGGTTATCTGACACTGCTGCCATATAATAAAGGAACGACCACTGGTTATCTGACACTGCTGCCATATAATAAAGGAACGACCACTGGTTATCTAACACTGCTGCCATATAATAAAGGAACGACCACTGGTTATCTGACACTGCTGCCATATAATAAAGGAACGACCACTGGTTATCTGACACTGCTGCCATAAAATAAAGGAACGACCACTGGTTATCTGGCACTGCTGCCATATAATAAAGGAACGACCACTGGTTATCTGACACTGCTGCCATATAATAAAGGAACGACCACTGGTTATCTGACACTGCTGCCATATAATAAAGGAACGACCACTGGTTATCTGGCACTGCTGCCATATAATAAAGGAACGACCACTGGTTATCTAGCACTGCTGCCATATAATAAAGGAACGACCACTGGTTATCTGACACTGCTGCCATATAATAAAGGAACGACCACTGGTTATCTGACACTGCTGCCATAGAATAAAGGAACGACCACTGGTTATCTGGCACTGCTGCCATATAATAAAGGAACGACCACTGGTTATCTGACACTGCTGCCATATAATAAAGGAACGACCACTGGTTATCTGACACTGCTGCCATAGAATAAAGGAACGACCACTGGTTATCTGACACTGCTGCCATATAATAAAGGAACGACCACTGGTTATCTGACACTGCTGCCATAGAATAAAGGAACGACCACTGGTTATCTGACACTGCTGCCATAGAATAAAGGAACGACCACTGGTTATCTGACACTGCTGCCACATAATAAAGGAACGACCACTGGTTTATCTGACACTGCTGCCATAGAATAAAGGAACGACCACTGGTTATCTGACACTGCTGCCATATAATAAAGGAACGACCACTGGTTATCTGACACTGCTGCCATATAATAAAGGAGCGACCGCTGGTTATCTGGCACTGCTACCATATAATAAAGGAACGACCACTGGTTATCTGACACTGCTGCCATATAATAAAGGAACGACCACTGGTTATCTGACACTGCTGCCATATAATAAAGGAACGACCACTGGTTATCTGACACTGCTGTCATATAATAAACGACCAACCACTGGTTATCTGACACTGCTGCCATATAATAAAGAAACGACCACTGGTTATCTGACACTGCTGCCATATAATAAAGGAACTACCACTGGTTATCTGACACTGCTGCCATATAATAAAGGAACGACCACTGGTTATCTGACACTGCTGCCATATAATAAAGGAACGACCACTGGTTATCTGACACTGCTGCCATATAATAAAGGAACGACCACTGGTTATCTGACACTGCTGCCATATAATAAAGGAACGACCACTGGTTATCTGACACTGCTGCCATATAATAAAGGAACGACCATTGGTTATCTGACACTGCTGCCATATAACAAGGGAACGACCACTGGTTATCTGACACTGCTGCCATGTGACAAGGGAACGACCACGGGTTATCTGGCACTGGTGCCATATAACAATGGAACGACCACGGGTTATGTGGCACTGCTGCCATATAATAAAGGAACGACCACTGGTTATCTGGCACTGCTGCATAAAATAAAGGAACGACCACGGGTTATCTGACACTGCTGCCATATAACAAGGGAACGACCACGGGTTATCTGACACTGCTACCATGTAACAAGGGAACGACCACGGGTTATCTGGCACTGCTGCCATATGACAAGGGGAACGACCACGGGTTATCTGGCACTGCTGCCATATAACAAGGGAACGACCACGAGTTAGAGAACAGGAATATGATTTGGAAATATTGAGGGTAACAGAGGTCGGATGATGCACTGAAAGAGAGAGAGAGAGAGAGTCAAACAATAAGAGAAGAGAGAGAGGGAGAAAATGAGAGGGAGAGAAAGTGAGATAAACAAATTACCTCACTGCGTTGATTCCATAGAAAGCAGGGAAAGCTTCTCTCTCTCTCTCTCTCTCTCTCTCTCTCTCTCTCTCTTAATACCAATTTCCACTGTCCGTAAAATTTGTCTTCAGGACCTGTCACCAGCGAACTAATTGTTACCTAATTAGCAGCCTTGACATAATAAAAATACCAGGACACTTCGAGAATAAATAAATTATGAGGGCCAGGTGAGTTATGTACCTGGCAGAGCTATGAAAGAACATACATACCAAATGGCTTACCCATTACTGCTAACATATAACATATCGTTACAGTACACTAAAAATACGCTGGAAACCTGCATATGTTACACTCATATTCAAGAAGAGAAATTAGCTTTGTACTTTCAACTCTCGTTCCATCAGCTCAACGTTAGTTTTATATAAGCAAGTGATGACTCACGAAATCGTAATAACCACGGTACGGGCTGGGGTAGAACCCATGGCGAATGAGTCGTAAAACTCCAGGCCAGTGCTTATGTCACTGGGCCAGCTGGCTTAGGCACTGACCTGGAGGTTCACCACTCATTTGCCATGAGCTCTAACCCCACCCGTACCGAGGTTTAAATGGTGACTATTATTAAGGAAAAGATAATGAATTTTCTGGAGAATATCAACCTAATAACCGAAACTAAAGCTCGAATTTTTCAGATATACAAAAAATGGGAGGAAAAGGCTCCAGAAAATGCAGTCTTTGTAAGTTTCCACGAAGCCTACGACTAGGTAATCATCTACGACTGATAGCCGATACTGAAGCACATGTTATTGGAGACAAATTCGTGCCTGGGTAAATGACTGATTCGAACAGGAAACAAAATGTGGTGCTCAGTTAGTTATGCAAGTAGTTTCCCATAAAGAATGGAATTCCTCAATGATCTGTCCAGCCTTCCTCTGAATGCCTCTCGGTAGCTGCGCAGTCCGACAAATGTATAGCCGTGTTCCATAACCTCGGTCCCCAGTACCTCAATTCACGCGACTTAAATTGTGCAGTGCTGCATAAGTTGATAATGCAATTAAGTAATTGAAGTATTTCAGTCGCTGCACGATTTAATACAGTCGTGTAAGCGCACAGATGTTACTGACACATAAAAGAACATTAAGTTGGTTTAACACAGGATAACCAAGGAAAGTCAGATACGGTGAATTATGTCTGATCAGAGGAGACATTCTCCAAATATTTTACAGAAACTAATTTGATTAATAAAATTGGCACATGATAATTTGCACAATCTAATATTAACAGATTGTTTCTTTTGAGGACAACACATCAGCACTAAACGTTTAAAGGTGATCAGAAGATGTATTTTCCAGTTAT